TGGAGCTGTGATTCATCTCCTTGCCTGGGCATGGGCAAACCAGGCTATATAGTGGGCAGATCTGAATCAGGCAGATTTACACTCCATCAACTACCCTAGTCAGGGTGAACTCTCAACTTGGCTCTGCAGATAAACAAAGCTACTGGTTGGGATTGCTACTTGGACTCTGCAAATATGTACTCAGTCTGCCAAGATCTGTGTGCTGGTTGCTGCAAGCTCCTCTCCCTTCTCCATCACAGTCAGATTGCCAGTGGTTGGACGCTGCAGATTCCCCTGCCTTTCCTGTAGTGCGAGATCAGACTAGGAGCTCCCATAAAGGGACCCCAATGCTGGGAGAAGCTGGAAGTTCCCTTTGGGTCCTCTTTTCCTACTGGAGGAGCCAGAGGCTTGGGGAGACCTGTCTGTGTGGTGCTGTCCTTGCCTGCAGGAGGGGCAATGTGGTCAATGGTAACTGCTTCTCTTACCCTCCTAAAACAGTCTGTCTTGGTCTCTGTGATGCAGAGGTGGGGGTGCTCCAGCCTCATCCCCATGTTCTAGGATTCTGTCAGTGGTGTCTTGTTCTTGAATAGTTGTTAGTTGTTCTTATAAAGGAGACCAAAGTTGGGAACAAACTATGTTGCCCTCTTGTGATGTCACTCCCCTTGGTTATTTTTTTTACAGCAAGAAGCATGTAATTTTAAGGTAGGCACTTTTGCTTTGTTGGGCTATAAAAAAAAATCTGTTTAAGATGAAAAGTTGCTCAGGGCTGGGTGACTCAGTCAGTTAAGGGTCCAACTCTTGATTTTGGCTCAGGTCATGATCTCAGGGTCCTGAGATTGAGCCACATTGGGCTCCACACTCAGCACAGAGTCTTCTTGACCCTCTCCCTCTTCTCCTCACCCCCCAAACCCCCCTTGCGCGTGCACACACACACACACTCTCTCTCTCTCTCTTTTTTTCTCTCTCAAATAAATAAATAAAATCTTGAAAAAAAAAGATGAAAATTTGCTCAGCAGTAACACAAATACTTCACCCTAACATGTACAAGGAAACTAGGAAATTAATGTACAAATCAATTCTTTAATTGCCGATAGATGGAAGTAGTGGGAGTATGTTTAATATCTTGGTGTCATAAGCATTTCATTCAAAAGAAACTGTCTAGTGTGTAATCTGAGTAACCCTCAAGATTAAAATCCATACTGCTGAATTGAAACTATGGTTACATTTGGGATATGACTAATTTTGTGCTATAGTGATTCATGCTCAAGTTTTTAGCCATTGTACAAAATAAAGAAAATCATTTTTCAGGACCAATAAGGGTAATTGGTAAGAAGAAATCGTAAATAATCCTAAGAAAAAGCTCCTACTTGCTATCGTCTCTCTTATTGATAAACTTGTTCAAATTAGAATTGAGCATGGTTGTGACTAGAGATGTCCTGTGACTGTGATTTACAGAAACTGGATGTTAAATGGCTAAAACAAACAGCAAAAGACAAGTTGTTTTTAAATTACTTTTCAGCATTTATGAGACCAGTACAAACTGCTCAAGAGGAAGATGCCTGTAGTTGCCGATTTCCAGAAGAAGAAGAAGGAGAATGTGAGCTGTAAAGCAGAAATCCAAAACTCCACTGGGACTGTCTTGAGAAGGATCACAGGAGAAACATGAATGATCCCACCATTATATCTTTTTAAATTGAAGACACTCGTCCTAGATAAGACTCAGGATTACCCCCAAATTTTCTCAAATACCGACAGGTTGGCCTTTAAAAAATGTACCGCTTTTAGCACATGTATGGGACAGAGCTTGTGGGAAAGGGGCATTTTCTAGATAATGCTTAATAGGCTTCAGCTAGTTTGTTTTTGAAATCCAAAGAGAATTATACTTAAAATTACATCACATAGGATAATGGCCCAGCTAAAATGATAGCTAAAAATCAATTCCATTTTGTGTGTGTGTGTGTGCTAATATAACATATGACAAAAAGCCATAAGATGCAGGAAATAGCCCCAACCAAACTTTCCATTGGTTCAGATATTCAAGACAATCAGCTCTACTGATATGAGGGGGGAAATTATGACAGTGCCCAGATTTGAGGTCAAGGGAAAAATATCTCAGATTTTGAGGGAGAGTTTTGGAAAGAGTTCCAATGTCTTTGCACATTTCGTGGTCCCCTCCATCTTTGTATCTTCTGCTTCGTATTGCTCCTTTCTGAACCAGGGCTTACGTTTTGGTTCTTTGTTGTTTAAATTTTTTTATTTATTATTGAAGTATAATCGACAATGTTATATTAGTTTCAGGTGTACAACATAGAGGCTCCACAATTCTGTACATTACTCAGTGCTCACCGTGATAAGTATTGTCCCCATATGGCGTTATTACAGTATTATTGACCGTATTCCTGATGCTGTACTTTTCATCTCTGTGACTTGTTTATTTTAGAATTAGAAGTTTGTGTCTCTTAATCCCCTTCATCTGTTTTACCCATTTTAAAAAATTGGCTTATGTGTTTTTGATTCTTAAGAACATTAAAAATAATATCTGGCACATACACTAAATAAATGGAAGAAGTGGGAATGAACAATCGTAGAATGAAGTCCCATGAACCCATAGCCCAACCAGAGGACTAGAGCAGAGTTGTCAAACTTCCACAGGCCAGATATTAGGGGTCATGTGTCTCTGGATGGCTTATGAGCTAAAAATGATTTTTACATGTTTAAATAGTTAAAAACAAATCAAAAGAAGACTAATACCTAATGACATGAAAAAGTATGTAAAATTCAAATTTCAGAGTCCATAAATAAAGTTTTATTGGAACAAACAACCATACTCAGGTGGCTTTTGGGTTACAACAGCAGATTTGAGTAGAGACAAAACACTGTAAGGCCCACAAAGCCTACAATATTGAACATCTGACCTTTCATAGGGTCAGAGTCAAGGTCAACCACTATCTGTGTGTTGCTTCCCTCCCTCATCTGCCTACTTCCCCACCTTGCCCCCAGGCACGCTCTCTCAGGAACGTCAATTTGATCCATTCCCTTGCTTAAAAAAAGAATCATTGCTCATATATTTATGAGCAATGTTATTTAATTTTGCTTGTTTTTGAGCTTTATGAAACTATGTTATTTAATTTTGCTTATTTTTGAGCTTTATGAAAATGGTATTATGCTGTATGTGACTTGCTTTTTTTGTGTGACTTGCTTTAATCAATCAAAATTATATTTATAAAGACTCATTCATGTTATTGTGTATAACTAGAATGCATTCTTTCTGATGATTGTATCATTTTACAAATATACTATAATTTATCGATCCATTCTGAACCAAAGGACGTTTGAGTTGTTTCCAGGTTTTTTTGCAATTATAGACAATGTTGATATGAATGTTCTTTTGTGTGTGTCTTGTGGAAATGTCTCTAGGGAAACTTCCTTAGAGTGAAATTTCTGGGTCTTAGGGCACATGAATGTTCAACCTTATGAGCTAAGTTATGCAGAAATAAAAAATGACCCTCCTTACCCACCCCCACCCCCAATCTTAAGGGACTACAGCAAAACAACAGAGATGCAGAGATGCATTTCTTACTGTCATCACATGCTGGCCGTGGCTTTGTCCCACATTATGTCACTTGGGTTTAGGTGGAAGGAGCAGCTTCCACTTGGAATGCTGGGCGTCTCATGGCAAAGGGGTACCGGCCACTTTGCTCACAGCTGGTTGGCTAGATTCTAACCTTTAGAGCAAGTCACACAGTGAAGCTGTGCATCAACGGGGTGGAAGGCATAATCTTCACCCAGGGAGGACCAGAAAATATGCCTGAACAATAAGAAGTCCACTGTGGTGCTGAACTGCTTTTCAGAACAGTGGTTCTAAGTCATGCACCTGTCAGCCTCACTGAATCCCATCCTTGCTACCCTCCCGGACCATCAGACTCTTAACTTTGCCCAGCTAGTGTGTTTAAGAGGGCATCTCACTGTGGTCTAATTTTGCATTTCCCAAATTACTAATGAGCATCTTGTCGCATGTTCTTATATCATTTGTGTTTCTTTTTGTGAAACGCTTGCTCATGTTTTTTGCACATTTTTTAAAAAGATTTATTTATTTGAGAGAAAGAGAGCATCCGTGGAGGGGCAGAGGGGGAGGAAGAGGAGAGAGAATCCTCAAGCAGGCTCTCTGCTGAGCATGGAGCCTGCTCATCCCATGACCTTGAGATCATGACCTGAGCTGAAATCAAGAGTCAGAGGCTTAACCTACTGTGCCACCCAGGTGCCCCATTTTCTACTCATTTTTAAAAACTTGGTTGTCTTTTTCTTATTGGTTCATAGTTCTTCATATATTCTAGATAATAATCTTTGGTCACTTGTATATGTTATAAATATCTGCTTTGTTTGTAATCTTTTTCTCTTTTACATTGTGGCTTTTTCAGTCTTTCCAGTAATAAGCAAAAAATTTCTTACCTTAATTTGGTTAAATGTACAGCTCATTTTTTATATAGTTAACACTTTTTTTCTTTCCTGATTAAAGAAGCCCCTCCCTGCCCCAGTATCATAAAGATACTTTCTCACCTTTTATTCTGAAAGTTTTAAATGTCTATTTAAGTCTAAACTATCAAGAACTGGCTATTGCATGTGTTGTGAGGTCGTGGTCCAACTGTGAGTTCTGTGTGCAGATAACCACTAGACCCAGTGCCATTTATTCCATGGTCCTTTTCCCTGCAGATCTACACCACCCCCTCTGTCCTTCACTGAGTTTCCACATGTCCGTGCATCCGTTCCTGGGCTCTCTGTTCTGTTCCATTGGGCAAGGAGTCTGTCCCCATGCAAATACCACACTGTCTTTGTTACAGCAGCTTTATAAAAGCTCTTGATACCTGGTAGGACAAATATTTAATTTAATGTCCCACAAAATTTTATAGTTTCTCCAGAAGGTTGTGCATCATTTATTAGATTTATTTCTAGGTACCTTGCTTTGTGTTTGCTTCTTATTTTATAATTTTTATTTATTATTTATTGTTTAAAAGTGGACCCCATGCCCAATGTGGGGCTTGAACTCACAATCCTGAGATCAAGAGTTGCACGCTCTACCGACTGAGCCAACCAGGCACCCCATGTTTGCTTTTTAGGTGGTTTTGTTTGTTGTCAGAGTATAAAGATGTAGTTGATTTGCTTATACTAGTTTATAGCCAGTCTCCTTGTTAAACTTTTTTATTATTTCTGATAGTACGTATGTAGATTCTTTTGGGTTTTCTGTTCAATCATGTTATTTGTTATAATAATAGTTTCTTCCTTTTCTAATCCTTTGTTTTTTATGTCTTTTCTGCTTAACTTAGTGCTGGGTCTTGCAGGGCAATGTAATAGTCTTTTCCATCTTATTTATAGGGGATAGTTTCAGGAAATTTTTTTTTTAATATACTTCATCAGGTTAAGTTCCCTTCTGCTCCTGGCTTGTGAAGAGGGTTAGTTTTTATTTTTAAATTATGAATGCATATTGAATTTTACCAAATGATTTTTCTGGGGGAGAAAAGAATAATTTGCTGATGAGTCAGTCAGTGGTTCTATCATCTTTGACTTGGATCTGAACTTCAGCCACATTCCAAGAAAATTACTGCCTGAAAGAAATATAATGTAATAATAGGTATTTCCGTTTTTCTCCCTTCTTTAAAGGATGCATTTTTTTTTAACACTTTGGTGTATGATGTAATTATATGTGCTCAGAAAAAATTCGTTGTTTTAATTTAAATAGATCAAGTACTTTCATTTTTCTTTGAATCTTGTGGATTGCCAGTGCCACTTCAAGATCAAGGCTGGGGTATAAATTCTAATGTGGCTTTCCCTCTCAGCTTTGGGCACCTGGTGTGTAATTCTCTGTGGTCCATTACCCACATACACAAAAGGATTGGTCATGCTCTACCATCTTGGGTCACCCTCGCTAACTCAACTAAACTCATCTGTCCCAGATTAGAAACACAGGAAGTCCAGTTTATTCTGTGTTTATTACTCAGACTGTATGATACTTTTATCATGGTATATTTTGTTATAATGTATAAAACTTATAAATGAAAAACAAAGGAATTTGGGGTAGGAGTCATTTTCCCCCTAAATGACAGTTAACAAAGAAAGAAAACCAAGACAGACTAATATGATCCCCCTTGGGGATTAATTTAGGAATCTGATAGTTAAGTTTGATAGAAATGAGTGTGCATTTTTACAAAAATAAATGAGCATATTTAGGGATGTACACATTGGAAACAGTTTTCTAAATGCTTAAAAGCAAGCTTAGGTTACTTCTGAAACAAATTTTTCTTTTCTTTTCTGGAGGAAGGCATCATTCTGATGGAAACTTTTGATATGAGGGGCATATGGCTGCTAAAGTGGGTGTCTTACTTCTGTGCAGAGCAGACCTTTCCATTTGTGGGTGAGAAGTACCCATGGACCTCAGCTTGGGTGCGTTATATGTGGTCTGTGTGTGATGGGGTGGGGAGACTGGTCATTACCAATGTTTTTTAAAAAAGGGCTCTATAATAAAAACACAAAGCTATCATTTTCACAGAAAAAAGAATATCTAAGAAAAGAGCTTATTTTTTTTTTTTAAAAAACCTTCATATTACTATGGCAGCATCAAATCGTAAATGTTAATCATGAAATAACATGCCATTCTTTGTAAACCATGGAAGCAGACTTTAGTGCCAGGGTATGTGAAAGATTTAGAGTTTGGGATTTCTTGCTCCCCACATTTTAGTTACATAAAAATGAACGTTACTTTTTTTTTATCAATATAGATTCTGATAGCTGTATCTCAAATTAATTGTCATTGAAACCTTTCAAATATGTCTCTTACAAATTCATTGAAGAGGCTGATGCTGACTCTGAAATACAGATCACCCCTCCACTGAACTGGCATCCCTCCAGTGCTCTGCACCAGGCACCATGTGAGGGCACAGAGATTAAGGACCCACTGCCCACCTGAGGGTTTTGAGTCCAAGAGACTGACCGGTACAACCTGAGAAGAGACATAGTGTCACCAAGACTTACTGTGTGCCAGGAATACTATTGTGAAAGTAGTTGGAAGGGGTCTCCCAGCCTGGTAGGGAGACAGCTGTTGTGATGGGGTGGAGGTGGGGCTCTGTGTAGTGGGAGGCCAGCTCAAGAAGGGGTGGAGGGAGGAGGGAAGGCTTTGGGGGGGGTGAGGAGGAGTTATCTACTCCCAGTGTGTGTTTCCCAGAAGGAGCAAAGGGCCCAGGCAAAGGGGAGGGAAGGTAGGGGCTGGGGACTGAGAGCAGATGAAGGAAGCTGCAGGGCCAGCAGGGAACACATACCCAGATTTTATAGGCTATGTTGGGAAGCTTGGATTTTAAACTGTGGACACTGACTTTGGAACCAGGGAAGGGATTTGATTAGATTTGTACTTGGGAAAGAGCTCCCTGATTATAGTCAGGAAAATGGATTAATGAGAGGCAAGACTGGACTCTAAGTCAGATGAAGGGGTTCCTGCAGGAGTCAGGGTGAGGCTTTTGGGGTGCAGCTCCTGGTTTCTGACCTGGGCAGCTGGGGGGAATGGTGTGTAGGCAGAGCCAAGGCCCTGCAGGAGATGCTGGGGCAGGAAGGAGCTGGTTCAGTGTCAGCACGGACCCTAGGGGTGCCCGGCATAGGGCCAAGTTGGTGGTGGGAGAGAGGGACAGGGAAAGTGGTCTTGCAGAGGCCGGGGTAGGGTCTCCAGAATCCAGTAGATGAAAGAAGAGTCAGGATGGCCAAGGTCAACAAGAGGCCAGGAAGTGACAATAAAACATACCTTAGGTTTAGCAACAAGACAGTCACCTTACTGGAAGGCCTTGCGAGGGAGTGTTAACTGTGAAAGCCAAGCCCTGGGACGGAGAAAGTCATGGAGAGTGACAGCAAATGCACTCACACTTTTCAAGGTTCAGACGAAAGAAAGGAGATGGTGTGAGACCTAGGGGCTGCCTGTGATCTTGGGTAGAGAATCACATAAAACAGGGGATGCCCAGTTAAATCCAATCTTCAGAGAAACAATAATTTCTCAGTATAAATATGCCCCAGGCAGCATTTGGAACATGCTTTTACTAAAAATTATCTGTTGTTTATCTGAAATTCAAATTTACCTGGGAGTTCTGTATATTTATTTGCTGAATTTGGCAAACCTAGTGATGGGGGAGTACAGTTGATTCTTGAAAAATACAGGAGTTTAGGGGCACCCAACCCTCTGTGCCCCCAGTCAAAAACCTGCCTATAATTTTGGACTCCCCCAAAACTTAACTACTAACAATCTACTATTGTCCAGAAGCCTTAAGGTTAACAACACAGTCAATTAACACATATAGTAAATGTTATATGTATTATATGCTGCATTCCTACAATAGAGTAAGCCAGAGAAAATAAAAAGTCAAGAAAATTACAAGGAACAGAAAATACATTTATAGTACTGTATTTATGGGAAAAAAATCCATATATAAGTGGACCCACACAGTTCTAACCCATGTTCTCTTTATCACTATATGTTGCCAGCTTACTTACAATATGTCTTGGTGCCAGTCTGCTTCTGTTGATTTTGATGGGCCTTCTCTGTGCCTCCTGGATCTGGATGTCTGTTTCTTTTCCCCAATTAGGGAAGTTTTCATCTATAATTCCTTCAAATAAGTTCTCTGCCCCCTTTTCCTCTTTTCTTCTTCTGGGACTCCTATGACATGAATGTTATTACATTTGATGGAGTCACTGAGTTCCCTAAGTCTATTCTCATGATTCATAATTCTTCTTTCTCTGTTGTTGAACTTCATTATTTTCCATTACTTTATCTTCTGTGTCACAAATTCACTCCTTTCCTTCTTCCAGCCTGCTGTTCATTACATCAAGCCTGTTTCCAATCTTGTTTATTGGGCTCTTCATCTCTGATTCTTTTTTTTTTTAACTCTTTTATCTGTGCAGAAGGGTCTCCCTGACGTCTTCTTTTCTTTTCTTAAGCCCAGAGAGCATCCTTATGATTGTTGCTTTAAATTCTCCATCAGGTATGTTACTTATATCTGTTTCACTCAGATCTCTGGCGGTGGTCTTATCTTGCTCTTTCATCTGGGATGAATTCCTCCATCTTGGCATTTTGTCCAAGTCTCTGCCTTCTTCCCTATGTTAGAAAAGCCATTTATGTGTCCTGCTTCTGAGAGTAATGGTTTTTTGAAGAGGAGGTCATGTACTGTCCAGGGAGTGTCTCTGGTGGGTGCTGCGTGTGCTCTGCTGTTGTGTTCTGACTGCTCTATCCTTCAGGCAAGTCATCTGCAGAGGCTCTGAGCCCTTGCCTGCTGTGGGCAGTATTTGGTCCCTGGCCTGAGTGTGGTGAGTTTTAACTAGGTGTGCTCTGGTCTCCTTGTGAAGTAAGACCTGACACCACCTCCACCAGAACTGAGGCCCTGTAGGACTCTCTGGTCAGGAGATGTGGTGCGGGCAGGAGTTTGTGCTGGTCTTTTGAAGAAGGGGCCCTCCTTGCTAGGACTGAGGCAAGTGTGACTGAAAAGCACAATCCCACCAGAGTGGGGATGGGGTGGCACCTGGTGTAAGCCAGTTAGGCAGCCTGGGTCCATGCTGCCTGCTTCCTAAAGGTGAATTTGTCTTTAAGCTGGTGGGGGGAAGGAAATGGTGCCTTGTGCATTCCCCTGTGTGTTACTTTCTCACACCCTTTTCCATGACAAGGGCTCTGTCTTCTTCACAGCAGCCACGATCTGTTTCGCCCCCAGACCACATCTCTGCACTTCCTGCCTTCTGCGATGTGGCCTCTTCTCTCCCTTTAGTTGTGGAGTTCATTCTGCTAGTTTTCAGGCTGATTTCTGGGGTACTTAGGAAGATATGATAGTTATCTAGTTGTGTCTGTGGGATGAGAGAAGCTTAGGGTCTTCCTACTCTGCTGACATCTTCCCCCTTCCTTCTAATCTGTATTCTCTTTCTCTCTCTCTTTAAGTAGGCTCCACACCCAGCATGGAACCCAGTGCAGGGCTTGAACTCACAACCCTAAAATCAAGACCTGACCTCCGATCAAGAGTCTGATGCTTAACCGACTGAGCCACCCAGGCGCCCTCTTGTGTTCTCTTTTAATTGGAGAGACT